GGAATTATAAAAAGTTAAATCATCTATTCAGCAACGAAAAGCAAGATGGTATGTTATATTAATGTCAAACTTTAAAGTTAAAAATAAAAGCATTCCTGGAAGTAAAGAGTGACATCACACAATGACAAATATTTAATTTTAAAATTCATTTGCACTCATGTGGTCTCACAATATATAAAAAAAATGTAGAGATCCAGAAGGATAAGTAGATGAGCTACAGTGACAATGAGAGATATTTAAATAGTAGTAACTGTTATAACAAGTAGGAAAAAGCATCCATGGTAGAGTTATGAGTGTAGAGCTGGTAACCTGGCTCTACTGGATGTGCACGTAGAATACTGAACCAAACAAGGACAAAATAAAAGAATAAAGTAGGGGCTGATGAGATGGCTCAGTGGTCTAAAGCACTTACTTAGAACAAGCTTGGAAAAGCACAGGGACCGCGGTTCAATACCCCAGCACCACATGCCAGCCAGCCCCACCCCCTGGTGGGCTGAGCTGGCCACACACACACACACACACACACACACACTCACACAAATAAATAAATAAAATTTAAAAAAAGAATAAAGTAATATGTTCTCCAACCACAATATGACTAAACTAGAAATTACTAACAAAATGTTTTTAAGTCATGTTTTAGAAATAAGGTACTACATATCGGCATAACACATGGTCAAAACGTGTACAATGGAAAATAGTTTTAACTATAATAATGAAAATACTTGTAGGAAGCAGCTAAAGCTGTATTAAGGGAAACATGTCTTAATTGTCTTAATTGCACATGTCTTAAATGCACAGTCACATAAAAGACATTCTAAAAATAAATAGATGACTTTAGAGTCTACCTCAAGAAGACAGAAATCCAACAGTAAACTCCAAGAAGAAAGGCCATAGCAAAGTTTAAAATATAAGTGTTGAATATATTGTATTTACCAGCTTCAATAATGGAGCTGATAGGCAATATGAGGAATGAAAAAGGAGGCATTACCCCAAGTGCAGCTCACCTATAAACTCCTAAAAGATATGTTATACAATTTTATACAAATACATTTGAAAATGTAAACGAAACAGATGTAAACACTGGCAGAATACAAAACTTGACCATTCCTTCAACTATGTAAGAAAGCTACACATAACTCAGAACTTCACACTAAAGAGAACTGCAGTGTTACATGCTCTCTAACGAACACTCCAGTAAGACGTCTCAATCTTCCAGATCCTTTCAAGCCACAATAAGGCTACCATTTGTCAGCTTGTGTAGGGGGTCAAAGTCTGATAGAAGAAGTGACAAAATTCCAAGAAAGGAAATTTTCAGTCTAGTTTTATTCATCAGTTCAGATGAAAACGTCCAAACATAAAACCAGCAAACTTAACCCACCATCACCAAGATGGAACGCGGAGGATCAGCTTGCTCTGAACTAGGAAGCTGCACTCTGCTGTTTATTCCTGAACTCAGGAAAAATGTCTCCCCCTTTTTGGTGTTCCTTAATTTAGAAAAACAAAAACTGTTAGCAAACCCCATTCAGAAATATTGAAAAAGGCCTGTGCGAGCAGGGTGTATTCCAGAATGCAAGGTTGGGCTAAGATTTGAAAGTTAAACACACTAACAGGATAAAGATTGTATGATTATTTTAATAGATGCATTGATAAACCTCTCCAGATTTGGAACAAAGGCAAGGCATGTGAGTTTGCTAGGGCTGCTCTAACAAAGTATTCTGAATTGGGACACTTAAATAACAGAAATGAGCACAGGGACGGCGGTTCAATCCCCAAGCACCACATGCCAGCCAACCCCGCCCCCTGGTGGGCTGAGCTGGCCCCTCCCCCATAAATAAAAATTAAAAAATAAAATAAAATAACAGAAATGGGCAGTCACAGCTCCCAGGGTTGTTGGTGCCACATCACAGGGCTGCCCTGAGGGCTGTGGACCCGCGCCTTGGGGTCTTCTCCTTTCTCCATTGGCTGCCAGCAGTCTTAAGGATCTCTCCGCCTGCAGTCTCATTGCTTTAGCCTGTCTCCATCTTCCCATAATGTTCTTTGTGTCTCTTTGGCTCATCTCTTTTAAGAGGCCACTAACTGATGAGGAGGTCCGCCCTCTCCACTGTGACCTCACCTTACTTGATAGTATCTAGAAAGATTATTTCTCATTAGGCTCACATACTGCAATGTGAGATGTTGATGTGTGTGTGTGGGGGGGGAGGGCAATTCAACATGTAACAGAAAATGACCCCCCCCCAGCCAGTATATTTCAGTTTCTTAGTTGCTCAGTTAATGGTTCCTGTTCTAGTCCCAGTTGCTTCTGTCTCTTAGAAACCATTGGTTGCTGTGATGCATAGCTGGTCATTATGATACCCACTGTATAAACCAATCCCCACTTGACAAGCCATTCTTCCTGCTTGTTTATCCAATATAAGGCCTAGACCACTAGATATCGGGACCTGATATTCCAGGAAAGATCCTGATCAGTGCCCGTGGATGCAAATAAATCCATCTCTAAATCTTGGGTGTCATTTTGGTGCTTCTGCTTGCCCTTGCAAGCCCAAAACACAAGGACTCCACTGCTGCCACTTTCTTTTTTTTTTTTTTTTTTTTTGCGGAACCGGGGATTGAACTCAGGCCTTTGTGCTTGCCAGGAAAGCACTTATTCTACTGAGCTATCTCCCCAGCCCCTGCCACTTTTTTTTGTATTTTAAATTCTAGACGGTGAAATAAGTTAAGAAAAAGAAATAAAAAGTAAAGATTAGGAAGAAATAAAATTGTCATTGTTCATTGATGGTATAATTATCCATGTGGAAAAATTTACATAATTCACAGATACATTATTAGATTAAGTAAGTTAACAAGTTTGGTATATATGTTACTATATAAAGTTTATTTTATTTCAATATAACAAACAGAAAAATAAATATTTTTTAAAATGTAATTGACAATAGCATAAAAAAACAAATACATGGAAATCAATTTAATAAAATATGCATGATACTTCTGGGCTATAAGATCTTACTGACAGAAATTAAAGAAGATCTAAGTATATTATGCCCAGGAATTGGAAGATTCAATATTGTAAATTTGTCAGCTCCTTCCAAATAATCCAAAAAGGCAATGTGATCCCAATCAAAATCTCAGTTATGGGGAAACTGACTAGCTGATTCCCATTTATATGGCATGGAAAAGGTCAAGCACAGCCAAGAATTTACTGACCAAAGTTAAGGGAACATGGGATGGTGAACACGAGATTTACTATAAAGCTAGTCTAATTAAGATTGTGGTATTCACACAAAATAGACAAATAGGTCAATGAGACAGAGGAAAGTGTCCACCAACAGACCTCTGCTATGCACTGGGGCATGACTGCTCCACTGCAGTCCCGAGAATAAAGGGAGGACAATTGGAAAAAAAATTGCCCCATCTTGTGCTAAGCACTAAAATAATGCATGCAAAACACACAAATAAAATTTTACAAATACAAATGTAAGCAAAAATTACAGTAAGATTCCATTCATACAAAACAAAATCAAACCATTAGTACAAAAAGTCAGGATTACAGGTAATGAGGGGAAGTATTAGTAATTGGAAGGAGTAAAAGAAATTTGTAGAGAGATGGTGAATACTTCATTTCTTTGCCTTGAATAAATGGGTTATGGTATAAACAGTATTTATATACATTAAGTCATTCAACAAATACTTATCAATTGTTACCACTATATTCAAGGCACTGTACCAGATATGGGTAATTTAAAAAATAGAAGCAGACATGACTCCTGCTCTGGTACTGCTTACCTCTGATAGCAGAGACAGACAAAAAAGCAATTACAGTGATGAGCACAGATTAGTATACAGTCACCCCATGGAGTGAGACTCCAAGAACACCCCTGGCCTCTTTCCTTATTAGCAGTTGGGGGGGCGGGAGGCCTCACTGGACTGAATTATAAAAACAGTTCACAAGTATTCATCCCATCCCTGAAAAGCAGCAGTTACTCCTTCTATCCTAAATGGTTATTTTAGGCATACTTACAGGAATTTATCAATCATCCAAGGGAATGTTGACTGACTTGAAAATCATAGCACCGATTTTTTTTTAAAAGTCAAGGCAATATTCTTAATTTTAAACAATCTAGAAATATTATTGTGAAGTATAAAATTTCTTTAGATTCGTAATTCAAAAGGGATTGAGTTTTAAGACTTTTCCCTAGGTTAGAAAGTATTTACTTGCTTACTGTAGAATATCTGAGAGAACAAAATTACAAAGAAGACAAAAATCCCTAATTTTAGAGCCATGGTTACTGTGAACATTTTGGTGCATCTTTTCCATTTAAAAAATACCTTTACAAAAAAAAATAATAAATAAATAAAAAATAAAAAATACCTTTACGCATTTACATCTACAGTTGGGACCAGACTTCGTACGTGGCACTGTAGCTTGAGATTTTGAGTTTAAATTACAATGGGGACTTTTCCAAGTCCCCAGAGACTTTCTAAAAATAATTCCTAAGTTTAGATAAATCTCATCTTACACTTGTGAACTCAAAAATTCGGCCCTTGGTTTCACTGGACAGTTCTGTTCGGCCACGGCTCTGGCCTGGGGTAGGTAAGTCTGTCCCACTGCTAATAAGGAATGAGGCCCGGAGTGTTCTTGGATGCTCCTTCCGTGGGGTGACCGAGATCCAGACTCACCCCTAATAAACGCGTAAACGAGTGAAAAGTTTTTCCCGGGCACAGAGCCCGCGCGCCCAGCGACTCTGCGTTCCCCTCGGCGGGGACCCTGCGGTCGGAGCGCGGCGCTGCCGGCCCGGGCAGCGGCGGCCGGAGCGTGCGGACACCGGGAGCCCCGCGCCTCCG